TTTGAGTATGCTCTGCATACACAATTGACTGGTTGTTTTAAATAAGTAATATGACAGTCTTCTAGTGAAATTTCTAAAGAATCCAAAATGCTAAATTTTAAGATAGAAATTTAAAATTGGGATGCCTTTCTTTCTTTGCAAATACTCCTAAAAGGAATGAAACATGCTAGACAGTGGCTTTAGGGTCAGAGAAACCTGGGCGTAAATTCTGGCTCTACCACTTACCAGCTGTTTAAGTTAATGAAAGGAAGTTTAATTTCTCAGAGTCTTAGTTTCCTCTCCTGTAAGTGAGAATAAAATCAACACTGTAAGGATATTCAAATGCAAGCTGGTATTTCCGCCTCGTTCTTACCGAGAGTTCTGAGAAAACCCAGAAGTTACTATCAAGAAATAACAAGTCAGATGTAAATTATACCCCAACCAAATTAATTGAGGTCTATGTGAGATAAGATAGAAAACAGCTATTCACTTTTCTCGATTAAATCCCAGGAAATGAACAATGATAGGCAGTAAAAATAAAAAAGAAAGGTATTCTAAAATGACAAATACGGGCCCTGTAAGTCTTGAGAGAGGCTGAAATGAAATGAGAGGTTTTGGTGGTCAGTTCAGCAGAGCCAATGAAGGGGGAAGTAAAATGTAGTCAGTGCGTTCTAATCCTATATAATAAAACCCTAATATGCCAATCGACTGAACAGTTGCTATGACGTGCACTGACCATCAAGGGGAAGATGCTCAACACAGGAGCTGCCCCGAGCCCGAAGGCCCCAGGCCAGCTAAGGTGGGTGCCAGTGCCCCCCCCCCACCCCTGATCGCCCCACTGGTCGCCCCACAGAGGGAGGCAACTGATGGTGGCAGGGGTCGGAGGGTGGGGATCGGGGGCGGGGCCAGCCAGTGAGGGGGCCGGCACCACCCCAGATCCCCCCACCGGTCGCCCCACAGATCGGCCCTGATCGCCAGTCAGGCCTAGGGACCCTACCCATGCACAAATGTTGTGCATCGGGCCTCTAGTCTTGTCAGAAGCACAGTCAGTTTTGGAGTACACCATCCAAGGAGTGCTCCCTCCCAGAGCTGCTCTGAGGCCTGGTGTGTGCCCTGGCAGACCATCACACTGTTCGCTCCCCAGGAGAACAGCAGTGTGTATAGCAGGTGTGTGTTGCCTAGAGTAAAATGAAGAGTTGACCAGTTCTTTAACTTGACAAGCATATGTAATTTCCTTTGAATGTAAGAGGATTTAAGAATCTAATGTAGTTTGATACTAATAAAACTTTCTCAGCTAATGTCTACGAAGCTGAACTAAAAATCTTAACCCACGTTCTAAAAATGGCTTTGCGGTAACTGTATTTTCTGCAGAGCATTCAGAGAGCCAATGGTTCCATCACTATCTAGGTGGCTCTAACTCATGGTCTCCTGGTAAATGATATCAAGCATCAGATGGTCTTCAGCAGGTGCAGCATAACGTGAGGAGAGCATAACTGGGCACTAACCCTCCACTTAGTAAGAGCATATGTTGCTTCTTCCCAGTTGAGCTCAAAGTGTTCAGGTGAACTGCTCATTAAGGATCCTTGGGTCATACCTATAAATGAATTTTTTTAAAAAAAATATATTTCTTTATTGGTTTCAGTGTGGAAGGGAGAAGGAGAGAGAGATAGAAACATCAATGATGAGAGAGAATCATTGATCGGCTGCCTCCTGCACGACCCCTACTGGGGATTGAGCCCGCAACCCAGGCATGTGCCCTTGGCCGGAATCGAACCCGGGACCCTTCAGTCCGCAGGCTGACGCTTTATCCACTGAGCCAAGCTGGCTAGGGCTATAAATGAATTTTTAATGAATTACCAATATCTATTAGCCACCATAAAACAGATGAGACTATGTGAAAATATGTGATCTCTACAAAGAGGATTCTATTTTATTTTCAAGATACTGTCATGGGGATTTTAATTATCACTACAGAGAGCTCTGTATTTATTACACAATAAATTCTTTTATTTTTCAGTCCATTTCTGTTCCTATTTATAAGCATTTTAGAGGTTTCCATCCACTTCTTTTCCCATTGCTATCTTAGCCAACCTAATCACTTTGAAACAAAACCCAGACTCCACTGTTATTTTTACTTCTCAGATTTTATAAAATCTACCAGTCTTCGTATATTCCTAGGTTGTAGAACATTTCACATTAATACAGTATTGGTGCATTATCTCAAAAGACAGAGAAAGGAAGACTGAATAATATTTGCAAAATCTTTTCAAAGTCTGTGGTAGACAGCAGTAGTAACACAAGTAGCCTTGTCACTGTTATGTATAAAGAAATGATTTTTCACTTTCCCAGTTTGCTCAGGTTCAAAAGACCTGGGTTAGGGAAATAAATTTTTCTTTTTCTCTCTACTAATAGCAAGAAAAACTGAATATAATTATTCTAAAAGACCTTCAATTAATAGCTACTTCCAAAAATCACTTTATATTACAATATGTAGGTTAATAAACTTTTAAAGTATAATATGCAAAGGAAAAAAGTATTAGGGAATTAAGAGAAATGTATTAAAATATATATTTAATTTTGGTTTCTATTTTTTTTTTTTTGCTTTCATGACAATTTATTAACTGGTAGAAATTTATAACAATGTTTTAATGTTGATCATTACAAATGAGTTGTGAGAAGACATAAAGATACATGTTGAGTGCTAGACCCAATAGGTCAATAAATTTAGGCTAAAATCAAGATGAAAAATAAAATCCTTTCTATCCACTCACCCAATGTGTATTTTCAGAAACCCTACCCTGTACAAAGCTCAGTAAAGTGCTACAAGTAATAAAAAATATTTAAGACAAAGCTTGTCCTCAAGATACTTACAGGAGATGATCAGAATCAATCAGGTGAGAATGCTGACCAGTAAGTACAAAGAGAATGTTCTTATAAGAAAGACAAACTATAGTGCATTCATACTTTTAAATAAAGATTGTAGGAAAGTACACAGTAACCTCTGCAGGGTGAAATTATGGAGGCCTTTCAGCTTTCCATACCTTTTTTATGGTTTGGAATTTTTACAAGCATGTATTATTTTTGTAATCAGGAAAAAACAAAAGAAAAATGTTTCTGAATAAACACTGCAAGGAAACAAGTGAATATACAATATTTGTTGACTTAGGTTGTTGGTAGCTTATGGGTAGATTTCTACCTATTTCATAGTTATTTTGTTGTTCTAAAAGAATTTTAATGCAGATTTAATTCAGTAATATAAGAAGTGTATAGAAACTTTAAGTTCTTTGATTTGAATAACTTTTATTACGCAAAGGGAGCAGAAACCTCATTGCCATATTTATTTCTAGCTAAAGAGTAGGGCTGTGAAGAAAATTAAGGCATCTTCTCTATTTCTGTTTATAATACACATTTTAAACTACTGTGTGATGTCCAGTTAGCTTGAAAACAGTAGTATAAACCCATTCTAGTCTACTTGTAATGATAAATTTCATCACCATCTATTATTAGGGTAACTCTTCTATTATTAAATTGGAACATGGTCATTTATGTTTCCCCAATTTCCAAACACTTTCATAATCTTAATATACTGTCCCCCCAAAAAAGAAAATTAACACAAATCCTGGCTCCGTTTCAGTGTGTTTCAAAGCTTCAGCAATGAAAAGCAGCACCAGCCTTGACCTTCCCGTCTCCCGCAGACACATTAAATCTTCACCTCCTCAAGTCCTGGTCACCACTGACCATTCCCAAAGCCTGCAATCTTTTTAGTGTCACTTCAGGCCGAATCCCTCTTTTCAGAAATGACACCGATTGTGATATCTCTGTGGTTTTTCTTACTTAGTACAACTCAACTATCATTTTTAAGTGAAAAAAATTCTGTTGGAGAATGAAAAATTTTCTGTTAATGAAGGCTTTTGTCCTTCTGGCCATGAACAAAAGGTGTCTGGAACTTGCTGACTCCATTTAAAAATCATATTACTTTGTGAAGTTCATTGTAGGTTTCCAAGTATCCTTAAGTACTATTAAATTAATTTGCTCATTTTGCAGAATAACGGGTCCAGGGGTGGGGAGGAAAGGGCCTCTGCATCCAGTCCCAGTCCACAAGCCAAAAATGTAGGAACTGATACAGTTCCTACAGGAACTGTAAGTAAGTTCTTACAGTGATTCTAGTAATCATTAAGGCCTGATGCACAATTTCATTTTCATTGTAGTTGTGTTTATAATTGAGAATTCATTTACATTCCTTTAAAAAATAACACTTATGTACTTCTATTACCTAAAATAACATTTATCAGAGCCCTAAGCAAGAACATTTTAAAATTAAGAAATAGGTCTAAGATATGGATCTGGATATAAATGAGTATCAAATCATACATGTACCTGCATGGCTATTGTAATGCTGTGGGATTCAGACACATGTTCACAGGGGCTGAAGGGAAGACACCCATGGTCTTCTTTGCATGTACCTGGCATGGCTCCATGTCACAAAGCCAGGAGAGCAGAGGAGACCAGGAGTGTGTAGAGATGCACAGGGTTTGGTTTCACAGTGGGTTCATTTACATTTAAAATGTCTTTGGAAGCAACGACCTTCTAAAAGCAACTTCTGCCCTTTGGAGACAACTGTTTTACTTTATTTTCAAAAAAAACATCATAGCTTTATTCTTATTTACAATTAAAAATTTAAGTTGAAATTTGATGAAGTTCTTAGTTAGAAATTACTGAGAGGAAAAGTATCTTCATTTTAAAAATCGATTAAGAATCAACTTCTTTTTAGTTCTGCAGCAGATTACACTAGTTCTTAAATTGTTATTTTAACAGATGAACATCACTAGAACATTACCGAATTCTAGTGGTATTTAGAGTGGTGAGTTACAGAGCTCACACTCAAAAACCATGCCAGTGGGTAAACTGCCAACGGCCTATTAAATGAGCCTCCACTTAGTCTACTACAATTTCAGCTGCATCTTTATGGAATGAAACAAAGCTCAACAAAGAACCCATAAAATGAAATGATGCAGACCAACCTTTTATTGCACCCACAATATTTTGGTCTAGTCCTTTCCGGTTGTCATTGAGTCCTCTTTTCCTCTTCCCATTGGGTAAGGAGTTAGCCAAAGTCTTGTCATCAAAAAACGCACACACCAGTTTTCTAAACAGAAGGCTTCCTGAGCGAGTGTAGTTTGACAATATAGAGTCCAGCTGAGATTTAGGCATAAACACATCAAAGCCTTCAGCAAGTTGCACTTCTGGCTACCAAAAGAACATAAATATTTTATTAAAAGCAAGATTTGAAGCATTTGACTTTGGGCATATGTGCAACAAATAAACATTACTAGCCATTACAATGTCCACAGCCTATGAACCACACAGTCTCACCTCAGCTTTGTGTGTATTTGCAATTTACAAAACCAATTCCTAGTTATAATTCACAAAACAAGATGCTTTAATTTCAATGTTAAGTCTTGTCAAAAGCAATGGAAGGAGTACACTGAAAAAGCATTCTTGTCTTTAGATTTAGCCAAGGGAAAGCTGGGTAATCACAAATCATATAATTCTAGAACTACAGGGGACTTGAGGCTTCCGGGTGAAACATCCTCATTTTTTAAATGAAGGAACTCAGGCCCAAATGACTTAAAAATAATTTAAATATACTCAGTGCCTTACAGTTGACACATCACTTTCTCCTCCATGAAACAATTTAATTTCATTTGCTTAAGGACACAAATAAGAGACTCTCCCACATGTCTCATCCTCTTTGTACTAGGCCAGTAGTTTTTAGCTACAGAACAGTGTTATTTCTCTCCAATGAAAACTCATGTAAACTAATATATGAAATAAATGTAAATGATAGACAGGTGCCCCAGGCAGTTTAAATTTACCCGACCCCTAGTTTTGGAAGGAACGTGAAGCTATACCCAGAGTACCAATGGAAAATGAATGCATCAGTCACATTGCTTCCCTGTCAGGGATTTCGTGACTGGGGCACTGGACTGGAAGATCTGTAAGGTGCCTTTCAACGTAGACTCTACTGAATATGCTCAGACACTAATAACACATTCTCTGCCACCACGACATGAATGTTCACAACTCGCCTTTCATCTTTCCACACCCGGTTCACATCATTTCCTTTTCAAAACCTTTCCTAACTCCTTCCTGCCCAAGGAGGTGGCTGTGTGTTCTTTGTCACCGCTAATGATCTGACATGCTTATATAATTGTATTTATTACACTGTATTAAAATTATTTACTAGACTGTGGTCCTTCCTGGTGCCTGGAACTCCAACTTTGTATCTGTAGGGCTTGGCACATAGTAAGCACTCAATAAATTCTTGTTTAATAGATAAAAACTCAGTCATAATCTGTTGGTCATAACATGACTTTAAAATAATAACTTTAATATGAAGAAATGCAACTGGTAAACTTTCATTTAAAAAAAGGTCAGAAGGAAATCTCACTTAAGATGTATTAGAAAAGCTTATTCTCAGTTATCATATTTATTACTTTGTAAACCTGGCACTACTTTAGATTTTTCTAAATCATACTAGAAACACGAGGATTTGGGATTAGTTTTTCTCCTGGAGAGAAAAATAGGAATTATTATTTTTGTTTGTTCTATTGCTTTTCAAAAGGCCTAGCACATCATGGTCAGAGTAAAGAGGGAGCAGAGAAGGGCTTAAATTATTCAGATGGGTGGGAAGGAGTTTGGGCCCTGCCCCTCCCGAATGGAGTTCCCGACTGGGTCGTCCAGAAAGACATCTCATTTCTCAGCTTCACTCTGCCATTCAACGTTTGGTCTCTGAATGCTTGGGAAATATCACTATGAAAACAGTGCTGTCAGACTGTTTCCCAACTTTTGCACCTTGCTTCCGGTAAAGGTCGGCAGAGGAGGCAGATGGGAGCTGGGGCTGGACCCCAACTCCTAGAGCAGAAGCTGGCACACCCCAGGCACCCAGAGCATATTTGTCAAATGATTCAATGTAGAAATATTAGGGTTGAGAGAATTTTATCACCATAATCTCAGACTAAGTTTTGTTCATAAGCAGAATTTTATTTTGCACATTCTATGGCTGCATTTACACCTTAAATTCTAAATGAACTGATTGCAGATTTTTGCTAAGTGCTTCTGTATCATTTGAAAGCCATGAAAAAAAGAAAACAAAAGAATCCCTGCCTATTTTGTAGAAATAACTACTCCCAACTATTTGAGGGTCTAGGGAGAAACAGACGCTCTTAAATTTGCGAGAGAGAATGGAAAGATGGCAACTTGTCTCATCCCCATAACTCTGAAACCATCACAGGCTCTGAACACTCAGCCACCTGACCTCTGGGACCCCCAGAACCTCCTCCGTGACTCATCTTGTAGGACTTGGTTTCCTAGCCGCCAGGCAGAACTAGCCCCTCCCTTCCTCGCGCACTTAGTGTTTCCTATGAGCTCCGTTTATGGCCCTTCCCACACTGCATTCATCTAGTTGGGAGTTTGTGTTTCTCATCAGACTGTGCACTCTTTCGTATTCAGAGTGCCAACCCCCCAGTTAGTGTCTGATGGATATTTGTCAGAACACACAAAAAGCTATGTAGAAATTCATTCAATGTGACTAGTATTTAGCAATTTTTTATCCCTGTATAAATGAAGACGTGGGTTTGAAAGTTTGAGTCGTGGTCCAGTATCCCAGTCTTTTCCTAAAAGTACCTGCGCTAACTCAGAGCAGAGAACCCAGAGAACACAGACCTGCCTGAATCAGTATCTATTAACTGAGCACCCTCCGTGTGTAAGGAGTTTAAGGTCGGACTCAGCAGATGAGACACACACACAAATACCTACCATGCAAAGTAGAAAGTGGTAAGCGCTACGTACGAGAGAGGTACAGAGCATTAGGCAGCATTTGACTAGTGAGGAGTGAAGGGGTACAGGAGGGACAGGATAGCATTTCATCAGGCCCTGGATATAGGATTTAGGAGGCAGAGATGCGGTTGCTGATTCTGCCATCTGCTGTGAGTCCTAACTCTAAATATCTGGAAGTTTCTATGGAGCCAAGAGACTCCCTGTGAGATCATAATAGTATTTTGATTTCTGAGACACTATCCCAAAACAGAAGTTGTCAAAGCTTCCTGTTCCACTTTCTATTGCCAGAAAAATGTTTTGTTTTTTTTCCAGCATTCTTTCCAGATCAAGGAACACGAACTCGCCCAGTTATGCACCCTGTGTAAGGGAGTCAGTTTTATTAGTTGAGGCAGCAGCCAGAGCAGAGGTGACAAATCTCTGCCCCCTTCTTGATCTTCAGGTCCTTTCTCTTATGCAGATTTCTTAGCTGGTGGTGAATGAGCACTAACATTATATCTACAATGCAACACAATGCAAACCAATTTCTTAAAAATAGCTTCACTTTCTGAGATAACGAAGAAAAGATCATCTCAAATTTTCACATGAAACCTTTTTATTTTCTCCATTTTATAAATATAACCACACAGTGGATTACTACCATCTAATGACCCACATCTTTGTATATATATTTAAAAACAGGCTAAACTCTTTAATTGTATCTTTGAATCTCTTTTTTGTTTACTGTCTCTAGTTTAAATGAGATCTCTCTGCTTACTAATCATGGCTATGACAGAAACCAGCATTCCAAATGAATATCCTTTTAAAAACTAGACTTCCTTGGACAGAATCACCATTTGATACTCCCATGAAGACAGATAGTTAGCATACCAATTTTCAGACTCTACTGATTACTGAAGTAATATGTTTCAATAAATTCTATTGAATACTTAAGATCTTTGAATGGTGACATCCAAAGTGTGGGGCATAATTTATGACACTTATAGTCATTATTTTAAGAGCTAAGAGTCTGAATTCCCAATATAAATTTGGATTTTCATGCATCCCATGTACCTCAGCCACTCAGCACAACAATGTATCATATGTTGAATTTTCCTTATCTAGTGGCATTACATCTTACACTGAGTGAAGTTCTGGAGGCAAAAACTGCATGTAGTCATAAGGACTCTTGAAAATGTTCCTGGACCCAGGTTTGTGAACATTAGCTATCTCGTTTCTCTTTCCATTTCAGTTGTGGTCTCCCTCTGCTTAGAAGTAAGCCAGTGATGGCGAACCTTTTGAGCTCCGCGTGTCAGCATTTTGAAAAACCCTAACTTAACTCTGGTGACATGTCACATATAGAAATTTTTTGATATTTGCAACCATAGTAAAACAAAGATTTATATTTTTGATATTTATTTTATATATTTAAATGCCATTTAACAAAGAAAAATCAACCAAAAAAAGCTGACCCTTGAATATCATGGGTTTGAAACTGTGCGGGTCAAATTACACATGGATTTTTTCATAAATCCATGTACTGTTTTTGATCTATAGTGGGAGTCCTAGGATGTGAAGAGCTTACCGCATGTATTGTTCTCTGCCATTTTACATAGGGGACTTGAGCATCTGTGGGTTTTGGTATCCACAGGGGGTCCTGGAACCAGTCCCACTCAGGTACTGAGAAGCAACTGTGTAGTTAAATTCTGGGGAAGTCAAGAGTTACATGTGGATTTTTTACTGTGTGGGGGGTTGGCAACTGTAGTTTGGGTCCAAACCTACTGTGGATAAGAGATCCTCTAAGCAGGTAAATTAAATTTTTTTCCCCTTAAGTCCCTATGAGAATATCATGTGACTTCCCTGTATAATCTAAAGAAAAATATGTAAAACAATTTGAAAGAAATGATACAAATTAATCACAGAGGGAACATTTCTGATACAGGCTTTTTATATAAGGTACTAGAGGCCTGGTGCACGAAATTTGTGCGGGGGGGCGGGGGGAGGGCTCCCCCTCAGCCCAGCCTGCACCCTCTCCAATCCAGGACATCCCTCTCACAATCCTGGACCACTGGCTCCTAATCGCTCACCTGCCTGCCTGCCTGGTCGCCCCTAACTGTTTCTGTGTGCCAGCCTGATTGCCCCTCACTGCCTCTGTGTGCTGGCCTGATCACCCCTAACTGTCCCCCCTGCCAGCCTGGTCGCTCCTAACTGCCCCCCCCGCCCCCGCCAGCCTGGTCTCCCCTACTGCCCCCCGCCGCTGGCCTGGTTGCCTCTTACTACCCCCCTCTGCCAGCCTGGTTGCCCCTAACTGGCCCCCCTGCCAGCCTGGTCACCCCCAACTGCCTCTCCTGCCGGCCTGGTCACCCCTTACGCCACCCCTCCCCCCCGCTGGCCTAGTTGCCCCACGCAGCCTGCTGTTCAGTCGTTTGGTC